CTTAATTTTTTATATTTTTAGTGAAGAGCAAGAGGCATGAGTAGTTATTTGAGTATATTATATTGAACGTAGTTTAATACTAGTTAAAATTGTTCCAAGCAGTTTCTGATTTATTCCATATATAACCATAAGGTGATTTGGAGGTAATACATAAGGTCCTGTAGCACATACTAGGTACCGCCCTTGGATTATGTCCCCAACTCTATTTTATTTATTGATAATTTCCAAATCTGTATCTTTTAAGTCTGGCTTCCTCATCTATAGACTTGCATTTCTGTCTAGTTATGAAAAATTTTAACTGGATATCTAATAGGTATTTCAGATACTTCAATGTGTCTGCAACTGAATTTTTAAAAATTTAAGTCTCTTCTTCATCTTACCTGTCCTTTCTTAGTTAAATATTCTAATTTAATACTTCATTATCCTTTTCTCTTCATTAAACTTTACTTCTGCCCTTTCCAAATCACCAACTTGTATTGAAACCTTTGAAATGTCTTTCAGATTTAGCCATCTACTCCACCCCCATGGTCACCATCTTGCACCTTCACTGCCTATTCTTTAAAAAATTATTATTATTATTATTATTATTCTTCTTCTTCTTATTATTATTATTATTATTATTATTATAAAGTAATGAGCACATTTTACAAAAAAAAATCAAAAGTTTGTAAAGTAAAATTTCTCCTGTTTTTCCTTCCCAATTCTACTTCTCTTAAGTAACCACAGTTTCTGTTTGGTTTATTTATTGCCAGATATTTTCTAAGCATTTCTAAATACATAGATACTAGAGGCCCGATGCATGAAATTCATGCAAGTCTAATTAGCATATTATGCTTTTATTATTATAGATATTTACTGTCTTTTTAAAAAATATATTTTATTGATTTTTTCACAGAGAGGAAAGGAGAGGGATAGAGAGTTAGAAACATCAATGAGAGAGAAAAATCGATCAGTTGCCTCCTGCACACTCCCTACTGGGGATGTGCCCACAACCAAGGTACATGCCCTTGATCAGAATCGAACCCTGGACCCTTCAGTCTGCAGGCCAATGCTCTATCCACTGTGCCAAACTGGTCAGGGCTATTTACTGTCTTTTGCTTAGACTCTTAAAACAGATTCTTCACCCTGGCCAATGTTGCTCAATGGTAGAGCATTGGCCTGCACACCCAAGAATTGCAGGTTTGATTCCCAGTCAAGAGCACGAATCTGGGCTGCAGATTTGTTCCCTGACTACTCACAAAAATGTTTCTCTCTCCTCCTCCCTCCCTTCCACTCTTTCTAAAAATCATTGGAAAACATATCCTTGGGTGAGGATTAACAACAACAACAAAAAAACCAGATTCCTCACTGGTCTCCCTGCCATCAACCCCTCTCCACTCTGGTTATTGCCAAAGTTATCTACTTAAACAGCAAATCTTACTCTGCTAAAGAGCTCTGCTTGTTCCCCATCACCCTCTATAAGATAAGGACCAATCCCTTAAATATTGCATACAGAAGCCCTTCACAGTCTGGGCCCATTGTCTATCTCCAGCCTTACTCCTTGCCACATCTGCCTTGTTCCTTATCTCCCGCATCACTACTTCCTGGATTGGTCATGTCTTATCATATCTCCCTACCTTTGTACATATGCTCCATCTCTTCTCTGTCATCAGGTTTCTTATTCTTCAAAACCCTGCTTATCTGTGGCCTCCTTTATAGAAGCATCTTTCTCATTTTTCCCAAGGAGAGATAATGGCTCTCTCCTCTCTGTTCTTTTAGTACCATAACCATACCTTTTCTTTTTATCTGTATGTCTCTCCCTTAGCAGAAATTCCTGAGTAGCAGTTTGTGAAGAAGATAAAATAAGTCATAATCCTATAATTTCCTTCTTTAAATATATTTTCCTTGGACCAGAAATTTTCCTTATATTTTGAGGGTGAAATTTTATTTTAGTGCCTTATTGGAAACTGAAAAATAAGGTTTGCTTTGTTTTAAAGTCAAATTGGAAAGGACATTTGGTAGTAGGCAAGACATCATAATAAAAAAAAAATAGGTAGCATAAGGAAGACTTTTTAATGAGAAAGATTTTAAAATATAAACTCCTGAAGTATCATTTTCTAGTAAGCATGCCATGTGTGTTTGATTACTATCCAAATTGTCACTTAGATTATTAAACAGTGAAAATATACATTATAGTTGCTGTTCAAAAAGTATTTTCTTGCCAAGTGGCTATAAAGACAGTTAGTTTAAAACTTCAGCATTCTAAAACTCAGTGAAAATAATTTGGTATATTTTGTTTCTATCTGTAAAATGAGGCAGAATTTTATTAGTAATAAGTTGGTTTAAGTATTAAGCAATTTTCTTCTGAAAATGAGATATTCTCTTTTATGATGGAGACGTCACTGTGGTTGCTGCATTTTCTTTGCTTCCTACTGAAGAAGCTCCCTGTGCACTTACAAAGAGCATAAGCAGTCATGTCAGAGGTCAGCTATTTGAGTCCATTTTCCCACAGCTGCCTGGTGCGAGTGATCTTTTACTGTGTTTTAAAAAAATGGGCAAGGATTAGAGAGGATTAGGAAGAATAGTACCCTCTTGAATATAGGCCCAGGGCTCTAAGGGGAGAAAACCCAACCAGGCAGCAAATGGGCTTTGCTTGACCAGGACACAACCTCTGCTGCATTCCTTTAAGAAACTGAATGGGAAATGTTAAGTCCCCAAACTGGATTAGTAAATAATCTCATAGCTTGTGACATCTGCTAAAGTAAATTGATGAGCAAATTGCATTCTTACACTTTGAGGAGGGGGCCAGCTACATCAAGACTAAGAGTAATTATTCTTTCTTTAAAGTTTCAGCTGTATTGAGATATAGGAGTAAGAGTCATTGAAGATAGGCATTAAGCTCATTAAGTGTTGGAAAACACATTATAAGAAACACAATATAAGAAAATTATTTAGATATATTAATATTATGTATACATATATATTGACTAATAACTTAAGGCTTAAATTTTGAAACAACTGCACTTTTTTTGTTTTTAAGATTCTTCCTGCTTGTAGCAGTTTTACAAAGTGAGTTTCACAAATTCAACTATTTAATTTATGTTGTTTTTCTCATTAGTTTGTGTAACAGTCTGAGGAATTTAGATTTTGAAATGTGAGAATATATATTTTGAGACACCTCTGGCATGTTTCTCTTTATTTTATAACAGAAGTTAATGTGGTTTGGACCTTATACACATAACTTAGTATCAAGTTATTTAAAACTAAAGAGGTGATTTCAAACCTGTTTTAGTAGGGAAACTGTTTGCAGAAAGTATTTAGCTAACTAAAAGAGTTTGTTTTCAGCTGACCACTTTATATAAATAACCACTTTATGTACAAGTGATTAATTTTGTATCTTCATGTAATTAGTGTAATAAGTTTATTAGTGTGATAACTGTGATTATACTGCTTTTGTTATGGATTATAATATTAAGGCAAACTTTTTTTTCAAGAATTTAAGGTGGGATTTAATTTCATCTATGAATAAGAACTCACAGGCTCTAACTTCTTTAACATGCATACTCACTAATCCCTCCAGTGCATCTTGTTCTCTTGGCTCAGTGCCTTTGCTCAAGTTGGTCCTGTACTTTGTGTCCTCCTGTTCTTCTCTTCATCCCACCCCCAATCCGCCCATCCACATTGCATCCAACGTTATATATTATCAGCTCCAATCCCAAATTCCATCAAGAGGTTTGTTTTCAGCCCCTTAAGCAGAATCAATACCTCCTAAACCTAGAATTACCATATGACCCAGCAATTCCACTCCTAGGTGTATACCCAAGAGAGATAAAAACAGATGTTCACATAAAAACTGGTACGTGGATGTTTTGGGGAGTATTATTCAAATAGCCTAAAGGTGAAAGCTGCCAAATGTCCATCAAATGATGAATGGATAAACTAACATATTTTATGCATACAATGAAATATTATTCAATCACAAAAAGGGATGAGGGACTGATACACGCTGTAACATGTATACACCTTGAAAACATTCTGCTAAGTGAAAGAAACCAGTTACAAAAGACCATATATTATGTGATTTTGTATAGATTTGCCTATACAATCTATAGAGACAGAAAGGAGATTCATGGTTGCTGGGCTTAGCA